TTTAAATAATTTTAAATTATATTGTATTCAATTTTAAAATAAATCCGTGTCTTTTTTATCTAATGTATTTTTTATCCCCTAGCTTTTTTATCTATGACTTTTTTATCCGTGGATTTTTGTCGGTGGCTTTTTTATCCTAGATCCGTGCCACAGTGGGTCCTTGGCGAGCAGTAKGCTTTCTAAAATAAAGCATGAAAAATTAATAATACCTAATAATATGTTATTAAAAATAGAATTTATGGGAATGCCGTAGGTACATTATTACTACATAGCTAGTAACTAATAGCTATAAAACTGTTTTCGACGATAAAAACATAATCATTATTAAAGTTATTATACTCATGTAACGTGGTCGGGGGAACGATCAGTTAAATAATATAAGATATCCAGTGAGACTGTGAGTCGTAGGAGTCGTAGGACCCTATAGATATAATTACCGTAGCCAGGGGACAGGGATAGATATATAGATAACACTGATAACAGGACCTAAAATATATTTAAATAGCTAGGATTCCGTTTCAGTAATCATTAAGTTTTATTGTATATTAAACACTTATAAATAATAATACTCACGAGGTATCTAAATTATATTCTATCCAACTGAATCGACTAATCTAGAATATAATTGATAGATCCCCTCCTAGCTGTAAATTCTTAAGCTGATTTAAATAGGTTTGGATTTCACTTTCATCATCATCATCAGATGYTATTTTCTTCTTGTTTATATATCCAAATGCCGAAAATGTCAAAACCATTTTAATTCCTATATGGAAATGAACGAAGCGTATCAATCCTTTCATAAATTACTCWATTTAATTAATAAAATAAAATTTAATGAAACAAAACAAAAACGGTGAATACTAAAATATATGGTATCGGGTTTAAATGGTATAATGCACCGTAACTGCRTAGGTAATATACAAAATATCTTGCCATACAGGAGTTACTGTAGTAGTAACGCGTCGGCCCGTTTTTTAATCATAGCCCACTCCACAGTATATTCTCTTATCTATCTCAGTGGACCTTTTTGTCGTGGCCACGGGTAAATAAACTGAAGTTTGAACACATCCAAACGCATAAATTAGTAAATTACGCGTTATTCCCGTTCCCGTTGCACGCTAAGGTGATTGGTGAAAGGGTTTTTGGCGTGTTATTATTAAACGGTCGATGTTTGGGAATGCACTATAAAAGTATAAACACAACGTTTCGATGTGGGCCAAGAACCATGACCTGTATTTATACACTTTCGGACACATTCGGAATAAGGCTTTCAAGTTTCAACGGTTTTTAATAATGTAGAATTCAAACTTATCACTTTACACATGCCAGATAAATGCGACAAAGGACGACCCGACGACTGTTCTTTTCTCTCCATCATGCTGCCTACACGTACTGCGTGTCTGCGTCTCACTCGGACACTCGGGTTATTGCGTTTCGAGCAAGACATTTCACGTCGCTTTACCGACATCACTGACTACCACCGTGATAACGTGGTCAGCTGATAAATTGTTATTGTTCGCGAACGTTCGCATTTTATTAATAAAGAAAAAAAAACTAGGTAAGGTAGGTTACCAATAATTCTCGTTACTTGCTAGTGTTGTTTTGCAATAGCAATATTTTCCTTTCTACGTTTCTACCAGACCAAAATAGTCACGTAAATAATTTAGACGCGAATTTGACAGTTCGTTATAAACAATAATCGACAGTAGTTTTGCAAATCACCAACTAGACAACATTCAAATTTGGAGTCCGCTGCACTGTCTACGGTTTCAAATATCTAATTACAAGGTTGGATTAACTCGATACATTCCATTAATTATCCGACGATAGTGAAAAACTTATGTATTCTACTCTCAATTTTATTGTATTTTAAATACCATGTCCAACGAATTTTCGTTCTTTTACTTCATTGGTTCCTATCGACTTACTTAGGTTGTGAACAATTTAAATTTGAATTTGAWCGTTCTCAATACTATGTACCAAACCGAACGCCAACGAATTCCAATTAAGTTCAGACACAAAGAAGAACGGGTTCCAGAATCATTGTTCTCCCTGTGTCTGAGGTATGTAGCGCGAAACTTGGACACTCTGTGTACGGAGACACCTGATGGTTACACTCTACATGATGGATTGGCTTTGCCAAGCGAGATATGTGAACCATTCATCTCGATTTATCAAAGCAATGGTGGTGAGATTTTCGACCGTTTTGCTCATCTATTCGTAGATGTCACCAAGACAAACCTGAGATCGGTAAACATAAGTAACTCGAGTATTACGGATGACGGTCTTGAGTACCTCTTGTGCCATGACCTATATGAACTCACACTTACTAATTGTCAGAATCTCACGCACAAAACATATATAAATATATTCAAACACGCTGTAAACCTTCGTTCWTTAACCATTGGTCCAAATGTACAAATAACTCCTTACAACAAGCTTCACGATTCTTCACTATCTCTAGATGATCTCCCCTCAAGAATTTACAAGAAAGCTCCCAATCTTAGGCATTTTGTATTGCGAGCAATTGCAGAATCGCCATTTACTAGTGACAACATATTTCTGGGTGTCATGCTCGATAAGCTCACACAGCTGAGATTCTTGGACCTCTCATATTGCTTAGGTGTTGGCAATCTGCATTATTTGTGTAAACTCACCAACTTACATACATTAATACTTTTCGATGTGCCTCATCTACAGAACAACGAAGCAATAATCAATATCTGTTCCCTGAAATCGCTGGTGTGAGTACTTTCTATATTATGATAAAATATAAGAGTAATTTTCATTATATTATTTATAAATTTATAAATGTCAAATTATGTTTCTAGTGTTTTAGATATATCTCAAACTGATACTTTCCCAGAACAAGGTACTTTCAAAGACGAAAATAAAATTTTAGCACTTATTGTGAAATGTCTACCAAATCTTATGTCTTTGGATATATCCGGTACAAATTTGGCTGGAAAAGGTAAGTTGAGGTAATATTAGCTATTTTTAATGCTATGTATTTATCATGTATGTTTATCATTATAGGTACTGCAGAACAGTCTATGAGTGAGTCATTAAGTGGTAGGAAGTCGGACATTCCTGGTTTGGAGTATCGAGTAGATAATCCTTTAGAATTTTTAGGTTTATATCATACTCAGCACAATGCTTGCAGGCGGCATGATATTCCTGCAAAAATTGTAATACATTTAAAATTAATAAATCAATTACATTTTTATCAAAAAACATATTTATATTTATTTATGGTTATTTTCATAGATCAGTGGTGATGCTAACGAAGAACAGATTTTCAATGCTGCTGCTTCGTGTATGGACAAACCAAAATTACTTCAAAACATTTTAAATGATCTTTATCACTTGTTAAGGTATGACCAGTGTACCCAAATTGATCAAGCTCTTGACATAGTATTGGAAGCTCTTACCAGATATGTTAAAGAGAAACTCATTCAAATTTCTGGAAGGTAAATATTCACTTATTTACACTGAAATGATTTTTTGAGTAGATATTTAATTAATTATGTTTATTTTTTTAGTGCAACACTTTTCTATATTGTGAAAAATAAAGATCGGCCATTATTATTAAATGATATAACAGTAAAACGTCGTATTATCACAACACTTTTAACTGGAATGGACTATCACAACTATGATGAAACAATGATGCGAAATGGGTGTTTGACTTTGTGTCAGCTGAGAATACCTCAAGATGTGGTAAATTCAAACTCTTTTATAACTTTAATATTAACAACTGTGAGAATCACTATTCTTATTCTATAGTAGGGTTTGAGTATACCTCAACATTTATTAGGTCACTGTAATGAAAGTGTTCAATATGAATTCAATAATAAATCATTGCACAGAAAAAATTGTTCTGGAGCGAAAACGGTAGACCAATCTCTATTTCTGATAATATTTTAGTRTTCTATAAGTTATTTATACCACCATTAGTGTTATAATTTTCTTTTTGTAGTAATACAACATACTGAACCACAAACTTCAAACCCTTAWACAAAATTGTGGCAGCATTTTTTATATTAATTAATAATTGTATGACAACTTAAAATAACCCTTGTAAAGAATATTAGGGATTAACATTTTTAAGATTTTTTGAAAAATGTCAACAAGAATTTAACCTTCCCAAAAAACAAGTTAAAGCTTTAAATTTAAAATGCCTTTAAATTACACAATAAAATAATTTWAAAAAATCAATTTTGTWATAAATTGGTGTAGCTTTAATTGTTTTTCAATAATTRTTTTTTATTTCCTCCCATTTGAAAAATATTGAGAGTTTCCTATCTTTAACCTCCTAAAGTACCTATTATCTACCATACCTACTATTGTAGATTCAAAATGRATTTTCACTTAAATAAATATACTGTTCCAAAACATCAATTAGTGGCAGAAGAATATATATATGTAAACAATAGACATAATAAAATCAATAGATCTATCACTCCGGTCAGAATATAAATTTAAAATTTGAAAATTAAAGATATTTTTGAACTTGGATAAAATTAAATGAGATTGTTATGAAATTATTAAACATTGCAACAAGTTTGAYAAAAAATAAATGTGTACACTATATTTTATAATTAGGATCAGGAAGTTTTCAAAATTATTTGGATCGTGTTTTAAACAAATTCTTACCCAATAATTTGTTGTTGCAGTTTCATTTTATTTATTTAGCTCTTAAAAGTCTTATTTTTATTTTTATAATATATTTAGGTACCATTTTTTATACATTTTGGTTGATATGTGAGAAAAGTTGTATCTTTTTCTTTCACATTAGATAATGATATTATAAAATATACTTTATTCATAAACTTTGACAATTAAAATATTAATGAGCTACATTAAAGTGAATAAAATTAATAGGAAGAAACTTTGGTTTAATTTAAATTTAATTTCATAAATAAATTATATCATAATAGAAGTTTAATAATTGTAATGTAATATATCTATATAATAAATATTTTGTATCTATATCTTTGATAAATACAGATATTTATTTCTCATGTTTATTAAGCATTAATATCCTAGCCATAATTTTAATAAATATGGTATTATATATTCTTATTTAAAGATAATCTAACCTTGAATTTTTATTTTTATTGAGAAATTAAAAAATATTTATGATGACTCATTTTGGCATGTATTCAAATTTATAACCCTTTCATTATATACACATATGTAATACATAATTTATTTTCTCAATTTTAAATGAAATTTCGTAATTTCTATCTTTTTCATTATTTTCCTTTTCGTTGATTTGTTTTTACAAAGATTTATGTATTAATTTTGTTTTGATGTATTATTGGAGACTATTTTTGATAAGTGATATTCATTATTCATTTATGTGTAATTAATATACTAGTTTTAAATGAATGATATTTATTTATTTTTTGAATAAAAAGTAACCTTATGAATGTTTATTCTTGCTAAATTAACTAACAAGTTTGAGTTGAGACATAGTACATCATATTTTATAATTTGGAACTGAGTCTCAGACACAACATTTGTTTTTTTTTTTACAATTATTTCTTAATTATGCTTATTGTTCTATTTTTAACCCAGGATCAATCACGTGTTTTATTTTACGCAATTGTTTGAGTGTTAGATTTTTCTTYCTATATATTAATATTGAGATACAAATTACACTTTTGTATAATTTATATTTATTGCTTTATAAACTAGAAATAGTATAATATGTGAAATAATTTTAACTTCCCCCCCTCCCTCATCAATATTGAAAACCCCAGTCAACGATTTATGATGTAATCAGTTTAATAATTATAATGGTAAAACATCTGAGAAAGGGGATTATCAATAATTTAATTGATTAAAATTATTCTAAGAATAACAGATGAATATTAGAGTATTAAATTTTAACAGTTTGAGCTATCGYGGAGCTCGCGGGTTAAAAATATATTTAAAATTGATAATTTATWATCGGCTATGGATCTTTCCGACATTTAAGGGCTGCATTAAATTAATTATACTACATTCAGTACTATGTTTGTCCCTGTCAATAATTGATTTTCCATCTGATTTTTTAAAATCTGTACCTAATGATTAGAATATGCTATAATGAATATTTATAAAAACTAAGGAAAAAATCAATACATTTTAGAGAAACTTGTTAGTATAAAAAATAAAATTATGTATGGACATTAAATAAAAAATATTAATGTGTTGTTATCAGGGTGACCTTAACCGTTAAATATTGGTTTGGTTCTATATTTTGTTTTTGAACTTTATTTGCGATAAACGTTAAATTAAGTTATGTTCAACAAATGGTTATAGATATAACGTTATGAATTAAATGGCTTACCGAACATTTTACTAGAAAAACATTAAAAAAGGTTTATATTTTTGAATATTTCGCCAAAAAAACATTTAAAAGTTTTAARTTCTTGAACGTTATAGCTAATAAACGCTATATCATTGTTCGTTCTTGGACATTTAATCAGAAGAACGTTTTGTAATAATACATTCATGAACATTTAATCAAAAGAACATTTTAAAGTTAAACTTTATGTGCATATCGCTATCATGAGATTAATTTATTAATATCAAGATTTTTTGGAATTTATTTATTATTTGGATATTATGTGTCTACTTTACAATCAGTAATTTGYATAGACTATATAATATTATATTGCATTATATCTATAATACTAGGTCGTAGAAAGTTGAAACTTCCACCAATTATTTTATAAGACATTTTCTTCACATAATTTTTTTTTTTCAAAATATTTCGTTAATTTTTAAGCTATTTATAGGCAATTTAAATATTCRGATTAAATGAATTTATCATTTGCAATAATTAATTTATCATGTTTTAGTAAAAATATGTATTTACATACAAATCCCAGCTCTAATTATAACCAAACAATGTACGAAAAATTATTAAAATATCTAATTATTCAAGGGTAGTCATTTGGATAATTTGAAGCGCCACTTAAAAGTATTTCATATGGTGGAATATCAGCAAATATTATTAGAGGCTGCAGATAAATTTAGTACAGATACTACAAATTCCGTTTCTATGTCATCCACTTCTTTAAATTGTAAAAAATAAATGATCAGCAATTACATTTAATATTTATAATAGCTGAAGCTTCTTTCGAAGTCACATAATATTATTGGGGTATACCTTAAGTCCTTATCTTAGTTATTACTTATTAGTAAATAACTAGTAAGGACTAGATAATGCTATAATATACATTTATTATGTTTAATTTAAGTTTTAGTTTTTGATATTGAAGTATCTACTTATTGTTTTTGAATAATTTCAAAGCAAAAATGGTCAGGAGATAATAATTTTGATTCATAACAATATTTTTAAAGTTCAAAGAACGGTTTAGTTGTGATGTTCTCTTTGTTAAACGTTTGAAGAACGTATTAGTTTATTACGTTCTTCATGTAATTTTTTAATGAACTTAATAGTTTATAATGTTCTTTGCGTAATTGTTCAAAGAACTTAATAGGTTATAACGTTCTACGTGTAATTGTTCAAAGAACATTTTAGGTTATAACGTTCTTGAAAACGTTCAACAAACTTAATAACATATAATGTTTTTGCATATAAATKACCCATAAAGTTAATGAAATAACTGGTTTCGTTTGATTGTATTTTTGTTTATGAACAACAATAACGTTCTTAAAYGGTTTTTTTGCATTCTATTCGGGAACCCCGGTTGTTATAATTGATTTTAGGAGATACCTCTATAAATAAATACAAATTAAAAAAATATCATTTCATGTTTTAGATGTTTGAGTTTAAACGTTTAGTTCAAATGTTACTGCACATTGTATCTACAAGTGATCATGAAGGATTTGTACAAAGAATTGGTATTTATTTACTAAATTCAGTTGCATGTCAAGTGAACAATAAACAAAAAAATGAACTTGGAGATGCTGGTGCAATTAAGGTAATTAAAAATAAATTAATAATATGCTATTATGTTCATAATTTAATATTTTTCATGCAGAAAATGATGGCAATAATCAAAGATAGGCTTCATCGAAGAGTTTGTGATGATGTACTTGAAGTTGCTTGGTCAACTATGTGGAATGTGACAGATGAAGCACCAAAGAATTGTAAAAGGTTTCTAGATGGAAATGGAATGAAATACTTCCTTGGATGCTTGACTGTAAGTACCATGGTAAAAATAGTAATGCACTGTTACTATTTTTAATATTGTTTGCTTATAGACTTTTCCTGATAAAAATGAACTAATGCGGAACATGATGGGTTTATTGGGTAATGTTGCTGAAGTGAGTGAGCTACGATGTAGACTTATGCAAGGACATTTTATCAAAGTATTTTCTGACCTTTTATTTTCAACCCAAGACGGAATTGAGGTAGCAATACAAATACTTACTTACATTACAGAATTATTAAATTTTTTTTTCTTACAGGTTAGTTACAATGCTGCAGGGGTAATTGCACACTTGGCATCAGATGGCCAAAGATCATGGATTATAAAAGCCCCTTCAAGATATAAAGTATTAGAACGTATGACTAAAGCCATACAAAACTGGAACTTGGATGCTGATCGAAATATTAACTATCGTTCCTTTGAGCCAATATTACAGCTTGCTCAAGTTAGGCACACACCACAGTGTGCTCATTGGGCAGCATGGGCTTTAGCAAAYCTCACCAAAGTGTATCGTAAGTATATTATAATTACATTTTTTGTTTAAATATTTAAAAAACATCTTAGTTATAAATTTATATTATTGTTAATATTTGTTAGTTGACTGATTATTGTATGTCTTTTCATTTTCTTGTTTTTATTATTAATTTACCATACATTTTAAATGATTTATTATAATTTGAATATTATGATGTCTAACGAATTTATTTTTTTATTTTTCAGCCGAAAAATACTGTTCGATTGTTATAGCTGAAGGTGGATTGAGAATCATGAGTGAACTACTTGAAGAACACAGTGAGCTTCAAAATAATCAGCCGGGTGTTATACATAGTCTAGCTCAAACAGTCATTGACCAATGTCTGATGTATATGAAAAACACTATAGATGAAGCGAGAAATCAGTGAGAATATTATTTTCTTTTTTGCCGTACCGCCCTACCTATAAGTTCTACCAAAATTGAATGTTTAATTTATACACTTATATCTTAATTATTTTTGAGAGATATAATTATAACTGTATTTATTATTTCTCATAGTAAAGTGTTTAGATTATACAGTTATTTTAGTTGACATTTCGATAATAATAATAAAAAAAATTTAAAAAAAAATAGAACCAAAAACTAACTAAATTGGTAAAATTTAATTTTTTTTAGTACTTACATGATTATTATTATTATTACTACTACTATTATTATTATTATTATTTAGAAATGGTATGATGATATTTAAAGTACATACTATGTTGAATGTTAAATGTTTATACATGTATATAATATATATTTATATATTATATAGGTATATTATAACTATTTTTAAGACACTGTCCTTTATATATTATACATAATATGGTGTAACCAATCTGAATTTTTTTTATTATTATTATTATTATTATTATTACTTCTGTGTATTTAATGTTTTTGTTTTTATATAATTTAAATGATTGTGATCACTAGTAAAATATCATAAATTAATTGCATTTTACAATAAAAAGTTAACACGCTATAACATGTAATATTTTCCAAAACGAATTTATTTTCATTTAGTCAATAAAACCAAAGTGAATACTAATTCCAATTTGTATCTAGTGAATGACATGATGAATACTTTGGGTGTATTATCGTGTTTGTCATTKTATGTAATTTCCTTCTACATATATATATACWTTTTATATTATATTATAATACATAGTTACTCCATATATATCCTGTTGAAAACTTAAATATTGACTTATGACTGCTGAGATTTATAATTCAACTCAAAAAATTTTAAGTTGAATAAAGTAATCGACTTGGGACGAACACGGCATGTCGGCATGACACATTATATTTGCATATTATACTTTCTTTAGTATTGTATTAATAGTAAAAACTTAATTGAAATTAATAAAATATAAAGATACAAAAATGTAGTATTTTATTTGTAATCTATTGTTATTTTACATTTTGTAATATGCATGTAAAATAATGGATTAAAATTTTTATTGGAAGATAGAGAAAAATATCTTGAAATTCGTTTTGGAATATACAAATTTATTTATAGGTATGATCACCCAGAATCAGTATGTATTTTTAGAACTTACTTTAGTCATATTCCATTCTAATCCTTTTAAACATTATTTTAAATGTTAGGGTTTCAGCTTGCTAAATAGTATAATATACTATTATTCCAATTCTCACATTTTATGTTTTGTTATGTATTTATTATTATTAGTTATTTATTCTCATGTAAAATAGGTATTAAAGGATGTAATCATTAAGTATACAAATTATACAAATTATAAAAATTWTTATCGCGTGTTGAAATTTTAAAATGAGTWTAGTCTGAGTTTAGCTTTCARATCATACAAATTCAAATCCTTTACAGCTACTYAACGTATTAGTTACATAGTAATTGATTTATTTCTGCTCTGGAATTTAATGAAAATTTTTTAATATCAAGGTTCGGGATTTTAAGGCAAAAGCCTTTTTTTTAATAATAATAATAGAAATATAATTTTTATGTAAAAATGTGTGTCATTAATATTTAAAATAGTGTATGTTGTTTTTTTGCCTTTTTTACTCATAAATGCACTTTTGTGTCGCAATTATGTAATGCAATTTTTAATTTATTTGATAGTTTTATACACAACATACATAATATTAACAGTACAAACCAATAAGATCTTTTAARGACTGTGTATTGTTGTCTGTCGATTATTTTTAATGGGTTTTATTATCGGTGGTTTTTTTCTATATCGCTAAATACATTATCGAGTATTTGGTATGGCCAGTAAATCTATAGATTTAAATGTTTCATTATGTGTAGATACTAGATTCAAAATATTGTCAGTTCATGTTCATTGACCGCAATTGTTTAATATTTTTTCCACGTTTGTATTATTTCATGGTTTTAATATGCTAAAAGTTAAGCACATTGAAAATTTTGAGTTATAAACAAGTATGTTACAGAATTTGATGAAAATATTTTTTCAGCCAATGAATTAATATTATACTGCTAAATGTGTTATGTCTAAGTATCAAGTGAAAAAAAATACTATAATATTATACAGCAATATATTGGTAGAGATAAACTCAAAAAAGCGTTAACAAAATTTTAAAATAGCTATAAAATATAACCTTCTTTCCATAGAATATAGATAGTCTTTATATATATGTCTTTCATACAAATACTATTAAGTCAGATTTCAATTACAATTTGAGTAATATMTTGTTTGCGCGGCAAACTTTGCGGAAAATATTCCATATGAATCAACATTATGGGAACGATACATTGATAAATGGTATGAAGAGGTTTTGTCAAAAATGMTTAAATGCATGATGCTGTAGTTGAATATAAATGTGTATTGACAAAACCAAAGATTCAGAACATGGCTAACATTATATTTGGAATTCTACTAGCAGAAAGTCCTGTAAATTTGTTTCTTCTTCACACAKACTAATTGTCAACTTTATAATAAAGACAGTTTATCTTAGTACATGGTAGATGAGTTTTTTTTAAATATAAACTAGTTACAATAGGTATACAATATATCTAAACTATTTATGTTTTAGTAAA